ACGGACCGCCTGCAACGAACCGGTCGCCACCGCCAGCTCGCCACGCAAGCCCTCACTTGCCGCCGTGAGCTCAGCGGCTGTTGTGCGAAGCTCCTCGAGCTCGGCCCGGGCGGCGGCGAGGCTTGCGCCGAGAGCTTCGGCCTCGGTTCGCCACCGGCACGACTCCTCCTCGGCCTCGGCGAGCGAGACGCGAAGCACCACCGCCTCCTGCTGTGCGCTCGCAGCTTGGCTTAGCCTCTCGTGAGCAAGGCGGCAAGAGATGATGCGCAGCTCGGCAATCTCGGACTGGAGTCTGGCAGTCTCCAGCCGCTCGTCGCGCAGCCGTTGCGCGCACTCCCGATGTTGCGCTCGTTCCTCCTGCAGCTCGCACATGCTGATGTGTGCGGTCTGCGCGTCGGCGGCGGCCTTGCCGGCGAGGGCGACGCGCGCCTCGCGCCCCTCCTGCAGTTCCACCTCCGCATCCTTGTGCTGCAGGTCGAGCTCCTTGACTCTGCCTCGTAGGAATGCGTTCTCGTCCCGCAGGCTGCGGTAATCGGGGTATGTCCGCAGTGGCGACGGCATGACGCCCTTACACATGGTATCCAACGCCCGTCAAAAACCTGAAACTCCCGGTTCTCGGGTCCGTTGGCCTCTTTCGTAGGGAAGAATTTTGATACCCGTCAAGACGCCTGCTGGGGGCAGCTTCGCGATGAAGCCGTCTGCTCTGATACCCGTCAAGACGCCTGCTGGGGGCAGCTTCGCGATGAAGCCGTCTGCTCCCCCCAGCAAGGCACACACAAGACAGATAGGAGGAGAAAGGGGATGGTGGTGGGTTCGACGAGGCGAGAGAGCGCGCACAGACTGACGTCAGCTACGCTCCTGAAGGACACCTCTGAAAGGCACCTTCGTCTGAGGACGGCGTCTGAAGACGACGGCCTCTGGTCAGATTCGGTCTCGTCGCTAGACTCCGATTTCTCTTTGTCAGGCCATGTGCCGCTCGCTCGTCCGCCCAAGTGACTTGGACGCGCGGTCGAGGGCACCCCACCGTTCCTGGGGCGCGCTGGCGCTCACCGCTGGCGCTCACCAGCGGTCACCCCCCACCCATCCACCCTTTTGTCTTT